TGGATGAACAACATTTTTATTTAGGTTACTTAGTTTTCTGTTGATTTTTTACTATTAAATAATAACTTTTAAAAACCCCAAAGTGATCTGCAATCATTTTAAAGGCAAATTGTAATCAAGGGCTATCATATGATCAGCAATTAAAATAATATCGAATTTTAGACCGATCAGCAATTTTTAGCGGATGATACCTTTTTTGTTAATTACATTCTCAAATTTAATTGTCCAAAAATGTCATTATGATTTAAATTAATTTATTACAACCGATTTGTCGGCAAAAATCTACATAAATAAATGATCGGCATTCAGAAAATTATTTGTATGAGCGAAAAATTAGAATTTTTCGTTGTATTTTTAAAATGTATTTCTCTTTAGAAACAATTCCAACCTTTGTGTGGGTATTCGTAGCCATCTATGTTATTTATTGGGTTAAGAAGCCAAAATTGAGTAAAGTAAGTAATTTATTATTATTTTTTTGTCATAAAATATTTTTAATTTTAACAAATATCTTCTTTTGCTTTCTTCAGAATGAACCTCCAATGGTTCCTTATAAAATTCCAATAATCGGCCATACATTAGATTATTTATTTAATGCCGAAAATTTTTTTGCTGAATGTAGTAAAAAAGTAATAATTCATTTCAAATAATCACGATTAAAAAAAATAATAATAATGAATTAACAAAAATTTGCATGCATAGTATGGTGATACTTTCAATGTATATGTATTTGGTCAGGTGACTACTATAGCCGGAAACGAAATTGCTCACGAACTTTTTAATACCGAAGATTTTAGTATGGCCAGCGCTACACGAGATGTAATTTACAATTAATCAATCAAAATTTAAAACATCAAATACTGTATTTATTTATTTTAGATTTTATACTTATTATATTGTATGTATATATTGTACATGGTCAACTTAGTTACTTCCTTTGTATCGTGTTTTAAAAAGTATTCTTGATCCTGGAACGATGGAACAAGTAAACAAAACGGCACGAGAAGTAATTGCTGCAAAATTACCTTTATACACTGGAAGAATGCAAAAACAACTTATGATTTCTATTAATAAAGAAATTGGAGATTGTCCTAGTAAGTCTCTTTTATTCTCTTTGCTTTATTTTTTTTGAAATAATAGTAACAATAATAATTATTATTACATTATTTGTTTAGATCCTAAAGTTGTTATTACAGCGAATCAAAATTTATCATGCATAATTGCCCGCCCAGTCGCTGATATTTTAGTTGGACAAGTAAGATAATTTGCAAAATTATAAATGTAGAATAATATATTAATATCTTTAAATTATATTAAAGGAACTATCAAAAAACGAAGACGTGGTCAAAGCTTTTGCTAATTTCACCAAAGATTTTGCACAAGTTCGGAAAATACCTCCTATTGCTTCATTCATTCATCCAAAACTCCATGCTCAAGTTGTCACTTTACCATTTAGATTTGGGTGGAATCCAATTAGGAAACACTTGATTACTTTAAAGAAGCATTTGAAGCCTGAATTAGAGAAAAGATTTAAAGATAAAGAAATTCTCGGTGATAAATATGAACCACCTGTGAGTATTGAAAAAAATTTTAACATAAACTTCAACACTATTTAAAAAAAAATTAATTCTATTTTGATAACAATAGCTGGATGTAATTGAAAATTTTTTGAATATTCCTGAATACAAAACAAAAGTTATCACTGAGGATTACTTGAATAAAATCTGTGAATTTTTATTTATTCTTGTCGTTGGCTCTATTCATACCACTTCTATTCATCTTACTTTTGCTCTTTATGGTAAAAAAAAGATATTTTATATCCATTATTTATAATCATTTTATATAATTTTCTCTCATTTTATAATTAATATTATTTTTATGTTTTACAATAGATTTTGCGGGAAGACCAGAATTATCGGATGATATTTATGAAGAACAAGTAAGAATTGATAAAGAATGTAATGGAGAATTATCATCTCAACATATTGACAAAATGGTGAAATTAGATAGTTTTCTGAGGGAATCTTTTAGGACTTATGATTCTGTGGGTATGTAAATTTGATAGTTTTTTAATATATAAGTACAAAGAATAATAATGAGAATAATTTATTTAAAAAATAGTTGCCATTTCTCACAGATGTATGGAATCATATACATTTAAAAATGGAATGACAGTTCCAAAAGGTACAATTCCATTTAAGAAAATTTCTTTGTTTTTTTTAATAATCTTTTCATTTGATAATATAGGGAATACTAATACTTTTTTTTAAAAAAAATAAATATCTGAACTGTCAGGTCGCATAGTTTCAATTCATTTAAGCGATATTCATTACAATACCAAAGCATATGGACCAGAACCAAGGTCCTTCCTTCCTTATCGTGGTTTGGAAAATAACCTTTCTGCATCAAAAACTGATAAAAACTATTTGATATTTGGTTCAGGAAGACATGCTTGCCCTGGAAGGTTGGTATTTTAAAATTATTGGTTGATTAATATTTATAATAAATTTCATAACTTCCATAATTTTTAATAAATATTTATTAACTTAAACTAAATTAATTTTTAAAAACAGATTTTTTGCTGTAAAAGAAATTAAAGCTCTCATGCATAAATTAATTTTAAATTATCACATTAAGACACCAAGTGGAAAGATTGAAAAAAAGACACGTGTTGGACCTATTTCTTATCCACCAGTTACTGGATTAATTTTTGAGAATAGAAAAAAATAGATGAAAAAAATTTCGTTTTTTCTAAATTTCCTGAACTTTAGAAATTTACAATTTTTTATTTTCTATAAATTGTAATGATTAATTATTACATTTAAAATATAATATATTAATTTTCTTTTCAATCCAACAAGCAAAATTTATTTCGCATTATTTTCATTTCTTACCTTTTATTCTTGCTTACTACAAAACAAAGAAAAATATCAAATGAGCTTGTTAATATCTCAAAATTTAGAAGAAAAAGAAATATAAAGTCGAAAGATAATTCTCTTTAATCAATTACATAATACCAAAATAATGAATATTTTAATTAATATCTTTTTATATATTTTCATAAAAATAATAAATAAATATCAACAGAATAAATTAAATAATGCTAATTCATATAATAAGAATAATGCTTGAATTATTTTGTTGGTGAAACTTTGAAAAATTCAAACACTTCAACAGAGAAACAACTTGTATTAGATCGAATTGATTTTTCATAAGCATTCGTGCCATAAAAGCTTTTATTCTCGGTTCAAATTATCAACTAAATTTAATGCATTGCCAAATTGTATCCATGAATTGCTTGATCATGATGATGACAAATAGCGTTACCCTACTTATAATGGAATTTTCTAGATTTTTAGTTTTCAATGAAAATGCAAGTTATTTTCACTATTACGAGTCTCAAGGGGATTATAACCACCAATAATTTCCCCAGTACCATCTATATATGCCACCCAAATTCAAATTCCAAATTCCTAAATCCAATTCCAAATTCCAAATTATAGTTAGTATTTTTTGTCAAAATCCCAAATCTCATATACTATTAATTTGTGATTTCGGCATCCTAAATCTAATTGTTTGGAATTTGGACAACATATATAGTACCAACTACTTTAGCAACAATAACTGTATTAGATGCTTCATCACAAATATTATAAAAGTTTTAACGCGAAACCCATCTCTACTTCCTCTAACAAGTAATTTAAATTCATGTGAATTATTTCAGCATAAGAATTTTCTTTTCTATTAATCCATGGTGAAAGTTCTAAGTCAAATTCATCGGTAATAATATTAGAAGGAATTGATGTAGTTCTAGTGGGAAGTGTT